TAGAGGCAGGCATGAAGGGAGGTAAGGGGGAGGCATAAAGGAAGGTAGGGCAGAAAAGGGGTAAGGCAGGCATAAGGGAGGTAGAGGCAGCATAAAGGGAGGTAGAGGCAGGATAAAGGGAGGTAGAGGCAGGCATAAAGGAGGAGGAGGGGGTAGGGGCAGGCATAAAGGGAGGTAGAGGCAGGCATAAAGGGAGGTAAAGGCGGCATAAAGGGAGGAGAGGCAGGCAAAAAGGGGAGGTGAGGCAGCATAAAGGGAGTTAAAGGGAGGCATAAAGGAGGTAGAGGCAGGCATAAAGGGAGGTTAGAGGCAGGCATAAAGGGAGTAGAGGCAGGCATAAAGGGAGGCAGAGGCAGGATACAGGAAGGTAGAGCGTCATAAAGGGAGGTAAGGCAGGCATAAAGGGGATTTAGAGGCAGGCATGAAGGGAGGTAGAGGTAGGCTAAAGGGAGGTAGGGGCAGGAAAAAGGGAGGTAGAGGCAGGCAAAAAGGGGAGGTAGAGGCAGAATAAAGGGAGGTAGAGGCAGGCATAAAGGAGGTAGAGGCAGGCATAAAGGAAGGTAGAGGCGGGCATAAAGGGAGGTAGAGGCAGCATAAAGGGAGGTAGAGGAGGCATAAAGGAGAGAGGCAGGCATAAGGAAAGGTAGAGGCAGTCATAAGGGAGGTAGAGGCGGGCATAAAGGATTAGAGGCAGGCAATAAAGGGAGGTAGGGGGAGGCAAAAAAGGGGAGGTAGGGCAGGAAAAAAGGGGAAGGTAGAGCAGCATAAAGGAGGTAGAGGCAGGATAAAGGGAGTTAGAGGCAGGCATAAGGGAGGTAGAGGAGGAAAAAGGAGGTAGAGGCAGGCATAAAGGGAGGTAGAGGCCAGGCATAAAGGAGGTAGAGGCGGCATAAAGGGAGGAGAGGCGGGCATAAGGAAGGTAGAGGCAGCATAAAGGGAGGTGAGCAGGCATAAAGGGGAAAGGTAGGGCAGGCATAAAGGGAGGTAAGGCAGGCAAAAAGGGGAGGTAAAGGCAGGCATAAAGGGAGGAGGGGCAGGAAAAAGGGGAAGGTAGAGGCAGCATAAAGGGAGGTAAGAGGCAGGCAAAAGGGATTTAGAGGCAGGAATAAGGGGGGGTAGAGGAGGCAAAAAGGGCAAGGTAGAGGCAGGCAAAAGGGGGGTTTGAGGCGGCATAAAGGGGGTAGAGGCAGTCATAAAGGGAGGAGAGGCAGGCAAAAGGGGGGTTTAAGGCAGGCAAAAAGGGGGAAAGGAGAGGCGGGCAAAAGGGAGGAAAGGGGCGGGCATAAAGGGGGGTTTTGAGGAGGCATAAGGGAGGTTGAGGCAGGCATAAAGGAAGGTAGAGGCGGGCATAAAGGGAGGTAGAGGCGGGCATAAAGGGGAGGTGAGGCAGGCATAAAGGGAGTAGAGGCAGGCATAAAGGGAGTGAGGCAGGATAAAGGAGGTAGAGCGGGTTAAAAGGGGAAGGTAGAGCAGCATAAAGGGAGGTAAAAGGCGGGCATAAAGGGATAAGAGGCAGGCATAAAGGGAGGTAGAGGTAGGCATAAAGGGAGTAGAGGGCAGGAATAAAGGGAGGAGAGGCAGGTAAAAGGGGAGGTAGAGGCAGTCATAAAGGGAGGTGAGGCAGGCATAAAGGGATAGAGGCAGGCATAAGGGAGGTGAGGAGGCATAAAGGGGGGTTTAGGGGCAGGAAAAAAGGGGAGGTAGAGGCAGGCAAAAAAGGGAGGTAAGGCAGCCATAAAGGGAGGAGAGGCAGGCATAAAGGGAGGTAGAGGCAGGCAAAAAGGGAAAGGTAGAGGCGGGCATAAAGGGGAGGTAGAGGCGGGCATAAAGGGAGGTTGAGGAGGCATATAGGAAGGTAGAGGCAGGCAAAAAGGGAGGTTTGAGGCAGGCATAAAGGGAGGTAGGGGCAGGCATAAAGGGAGGTAGAGGCAGGCATAAAGGGGATGAGGGCAGGCATAAAGGGAGGAAGAGGCAGGATAAGGGAAGGTGAGGAAAGCATAAAGGGGGGTTTGAGGCAGGCATAAAGGGATTTAGGCAGGCATAAAGGGGGGTAGAGGAGGCAAAAAGGGAGGTAGAGGCAGGAATAAAGGGAGGTAGAGGCAGGCATAAAGGGAGGTAGAGGCAGTCATAAAGGGAGGTAGAGGCAGGCATAAAGGGAGGTAGACCCAGGCAAAAGGGAAGGTTGAGGCAGCATAAGGGAGGTAGGGCAGGCATAAAGGGAAGAGGCAGGCATAAAGGGAGGTAAAGGAGGCATAAAGGGAGGTAGAGGCGGGCATAAAGGGAGGTAGAGGCGGGCATAAAGGGAGGTAGAGGCGGGCATAAGGGAGGTAGAGGCAGGCATAAAGGGGGGTTGAGGAGGCAAAAAGAGGTTGAGGCAGGCAAAAAGGGAGGTGAGGCAGGCATAAAGGGAGGTAGAGGCAGGCATAAAGGGAGGTAGAGGCAGGCATAAAGGGAGGTTGAGGCAGGCATAAAGGGAGGTAGAGGCAGGCATAAAGGGAGGTAGAGGCAGGCATAAAGGGAGGTAGAGGCAGGCATAAAGGGAGGTAGAGGCAGGCATAAAGGGAGGTAGAGGCAGGCATAAAGGGAGGTAGAGGCAGGCATAAAGGGAGGCAGAGGCAGGCATACAGGAAGGTAGAGGCAGTCATAAAGGGAGGTAGAGGCAGGCATAAAGGGATTTAGAGGCAGGCATGAAGGGAGGTAGAGGTAGGCATAAAGGGAGGTAGAGGCAGGAATAAAGGGAGGTAGAGGCAGGCATAAAGGGAGGTAGGGGCAGTCATAAAGGGAGGTAGAGGCAGGCATAAAGGGAGATAGAGGCAGGCATAAAGAGAGGTTGAGGCAGGCATAAAGGGAGGTTGTGTAGGCATAAAGAGAGGTAGAGGCAGGCATAAAGAGAGGTAGAGGCAGGCATAAAGGGAGGCAGAGGCAGGCATAAAGGGAGGCAGAGGCAGGCATAAAGGGAGGCAGAGGCTGGCTTAAAGGGAGGCAGAGGCTGGCTTAAAGGGAGGCAGAGGCAGGCATAAAGGGAGGTGGCATAAAGGGAGAAAGGAGGCCAAAAGGCCTCCTTTCTTCCTGCCTGGCTCATAACTCAATTTGCTTGTATATTAATTCAATTTTCCTCACTGAAATTAATTTAAATGCCATTAGTCCATTCCAGCCACCAAAACACTACCCCAATTATTTTCATTATAAACTCTATCATTTAATTGCTTAACTTACTTGCTACGCTATACACTACTCCACCCACCACCTTCACTACTCCACCCACCACCATCACTTCTCCACCCACCACCCTCACTACTCCACTCACCACCATCTCTATTCCACCCACCATTACCACTACTCCATCCACCACCCTCACTACTCCACCCACCACCTTCACTACTCCACCCACCATCATACCTACTCCACCCACCATTATCACTACTTCACCCACCACTATCACTACTCCACCCACCACTACCACTACTCCACCCACCACCATCACTACTCAACCCACCACTCTCAATACTCCACCTACTGAAGGATCCTCCATGAGGCAGATAAATATCATGGAGGCCTTCCTTAATGTTTTTGGAAAAACTCTGAGTGTTGAAATGGAGGTTACCTCTTCCCCGGAGAGAAGGTGCCTCACTACAATCTGGGATTAGTGTGTTAGTATTATCCTTCCAGTTATGTCTTGGAAGAGCATGTGGGATAGGATGAAGTACGTGACATTCCTCTGGGTACAGAGTTGGATTTGACTTCAGATACGCCACCAACTAGTGGCGGCGTATCTGAAGCTCGCTCATAACTCAGATTTTGGCTTGCAACTCGAAGCAAAAAATCGACCAAGCGATGGCTTGTAACTCGGAAAATTCGTAAGTTGGGGCACTCATAAGTCAAGGTACCACTGTATTTTATCGAGTTTTGCTGGGAAATGCTGTTATATCTCATACTGTTAAGAGTAAATGACAGTTAGGTATAGAGGGAATATACACAAGCTCTCGAGAGGAAGGTGTGAGTGAGTGTAACTCTAGCAGTCTCCATCCCTCTCTTCTCCCCAGTTCCCACCTTTTGTTGACAAAAGATGATCATAACATTTGTCATTTGCCAGATACACCATAGTTCCCATCCTCAAGACTAACCCATAATGTTGTTCAGTTCATTATGGTGTGGGGAAGAGTGCTGAAGATTATTGTGTAGGAATTTGATTCTCCTGTCAACTTCCTTCCCTGTCCTCCAACTATATGCATGTCCTAGACACATATGTATCTACACTTCTTAAATGATATCTACCAGGAAAACATGGATGTGAGTATGCCCCCTCCATGGGGCTAACACTGAACCTTCCATTTTCATCTTATTCAACTACCAAAGAAGTGTTGCCCACCAATGTGCCATAGCTCTATGAACAAATTCATTATTCTTGTGAGCAGAATTGGAAGGAATAGTATACAAGTCTCTGTACTCGGTAAATAGAGAGAGCAATGTTTCCTCAGGCTTTCACAGGCAGAGGAAAGGATAATCCCTCACCATGGAAGAAAACTATTTATAGGGGTTATTATTTTGTAAAATATAATGAAATGTAATTAATTAATTTTTTGAACTAAACATGACAACACTTTAATGTCATTAATTTTTTATGGCAGTCTACATAAAGTATGACTTAGAAAATGTGACAGGTTCCATTTTCAAATTTATTTGTACACTGTATAAAAAAACTGCATATAGTAAGCACTCTCTACCACTGAATAATCATGAACAAGTGTTTACCAATACATGTACTTTGAATATTTATGCTGCATAACCACAGATGTCTCTATGAAGTACTGTACGAGAGAAAAGAAAAAGTGCCTAAATTTGAAGAATTGAGAAAAATGCAATAGTTGGGAGACTGAGCTTATGAAGCTCAATTAAGGATTCAATTCGTTCACTAACTCGAATTTTGGCCATGGTAGTGTTTGTTCTTTGTTGCTGCTGCAAAACACTCCATACCTTATAAGGTAAATAATTTTTCAATACTTTCTATGAAAATTTAGTATTTTAGCTACAATAACAAACATTATTTTTAACAAACGTTTTTGTATTGTAATTTCATTAGTTTTCATAATATCAAAATGTACACACACAGTTATCAAATAATAGGGTGCTTCTCACCCTCTCCTCTTTAACTAAGAAATAGGACCTTCAGTTTCTCAACCTCTTACTCACTAACACTGTTTACTCGGTGTACCCAAATCTTGACATACAAGACATTGTAAGTCTAGTTCTATTCAATTTCTCCTATGAAGATCTGTTTGTCATTTGATACAGACATAACTGAAAATAAGAAAAATGCATCAGTATTGTATTCTCTACTTGAAACCTGCAATGACAATAAAGATGACTAAAATGTTTAGACAAGCTGTCAATACTGTATATAATGGCTCAGTATGTTGAAAATGAGGCACTATAATATTTTACAAATTCACTAAATAGAGAATATTTCAATAAAGGAAAAATCAGCTTACTGGAATGTCTAGGGATAAAACATGAGATAAAATTTATGAATGATTTTGTATGGTAAACTGCCACTAAAAACACATGAAATGTAACAGCATCATCATTAACATTTAGTGAAATACTCTTGATTCCAGGAATTGAAGCTGCCCTTCAATTCCTTGGATAAACCCTGATTGCTTCCCATTCCTGATTCATGTGCAGTATGACCCCTATGGATGTAATGCTTCCCTAAAATACTATAATAATAATATTTCCTACTTTCACCAAGAAACAACATATAATCAGTAAAGAGAAAAAATGTAATAAATGACAAAAAACTCAAAGAAAAACAACATTCAGAAAGCTACAATTTAACAAATACACAAATAACCCACACATAGAAGAGAGGAGCTTATGACGACGTTTCAGTCCGACCTGGACCATTTACAAAGTCTTTGTAAAGTCGGACTGAAACGTTGTTGTAAGCTCCTCTCTTCTATGTGCGGGTTATTTGTGTATCGTTCCAGTCACGGTATTGTGCCTTTCTTTGTTATCGCTAGCTAAAATTTAACTTTTAAAGTATGAAAATCCTTTCTTAGCATTATTCATTCTTACTATTATCCACCTTAACCTAGTTACCATCATGGGATATAAACTTCAGCAATATCGAAGCCATTTTGCAGACTGTTATTACCTATTTGTTATTATTTATTTGCAGCTATACTAACGAAGTGAAGCTCATATTGCCACAACTTCTTTATGAAAATGAACACTACATGTACTACCCTTTGGGCATCTTTTTTCCATTTATAGCTATTATGGCCTTTTATTCTACAAGCTGAGTATTAAAAAATCTTCCTAATTAGTTTTTTCAAATCCTTATATAATCTTTTGTATGGATATCATGTCTACATTTATTCTTCTATCAGCCAGTGAGGGAATGCTAAATACTTTTAGCCTGTTTTCATGACTCATAAATTTTACCTGTAGGGACTATTTGGGCTTTTTCTAGCTTGTTTCCATGTCAAGCCTATATATCTCACTTTAGTGTTACCACTCAGATCTACTTACTACCACTTTTTTGGACATAAATATATCATATTTTCTTACTATATATACATGTATTATAGGTAGTAGGTTGGTAGACAGCAACCACCCAGGGAGGTACTACCGTCCTGCCAAATGAGTGTAAAATGGAAACCTTTAATTGTTTTATATGATGGTAGGATTGCTGATGTCTTTTTTCTGTCGCAAGATTTCAGGTACATCTTGCTACTTCTACTTACACTTAGGTCACATTACACATACATGTACAAGCATATAGTATATACACACCCCTCTGGATTTTCTTCTATTTTCTTTATAGTTCTTGTTCTTGTTTATTTCCTCTTATCTCCATGGGGAAGTGGAACAGAATTCTTCCTCCGTAACCCATGCGCGTTGTAAAAGGCAACTAAAATGCCAGGAGCAAGGGGCTAGTAACCCCTTCTCCTGTATAAATTACTAAATTTTAAGAGAAACTTTTGTTTTTCTTTTTTGGACCACCCTGCCTAGGCGGGATACGGCTGGCTTATTGAAAAAAAAAAAAAACATACAGTGAACCCTCGAGTTTCGGCAGCATCGACTTTCGTGAAATCCGACTTTCGGCGAGTTTTTTTTGGAAAAATTTGGCCTCGCAGTTCGTGATTGGACTCGTGATTCGGCGACTGTCCGGTATCCGTCCGCCTGTCACCGCGCACACAAAGCCAGTCTCCCACGCCATTCACACTCAGTGTGCCATTGTTTACAAACACGTGACCATCACCCTGCGGGTTCATAAGTAATAATCCATTGTTTTTTGTGATTGCAACTGCTAAATAGGTCACCATGGGCCCAAGGAAAGCTAGTGGAAACCCTTTGGTAAAGAAAGTGAGGAACATGATCGAATTCAAGAAGGAAATCATTGAAAAATATGAGAGTGGAGTGCATGTTACAGAGCTTGCCAGGATGTATGGCAAACCCCATTCAACCATCACTTCGATCGTGGCGAAAGGAAAGGAAATAAAGTGTGCTGTTGTTGCAAAAGGGGTAGATATGCTGACAAAAAGGAGATCACAAATCCTCGAAGAAGTGGAGAAGTTATTGTTGGTGTGGATTACCGAAAAACAGTTAGCAGGAGATAGTGTTACGTAGTCGATAATATGTGAAAAGGCAAGGCAGTTGCATGACGATCTCGTAAAGAAAATGCCTGCAACAAGTGGTGATGCTTGTGATTTTAAGGCCAGCAAAGGTTGGTTTGAGAGATTTAAGAAGCATAGTGGCATTCACAGTGTGATAAGGCATGGTGAGGCTTCCAGTTCTGACAAAATTGCATCTAAGAAGTTTGTACATGAGTTTAAGGAGTGCATAGACACTGGAGAATTCAAACCCCAACAAGTGTTTAATTGTGACGAAACAGGCCTCTTTTGGAAGAAAATGCCAAAGAGGACCTACATCACACAAGAGGAAACGGCACTCCCAGGACACAAGCCTACGAAGGATAGGCTTCTCATGTTTCGTAATTTCGACTTTCGGCAGGCTCTCTGGAACGGATTAATCACGAAACTTGGGGGGTCCACTGTACACATGTATCCGCCCATTTTTTGGATTTTTCTATCCTCCTCCTCCTCCTCCTCCTATCTCCATTATTCAACTGAATACAGTGAAAAAGCTCTTAGCTTGAACTAAAGCAAAATTTCCGTTTGATGAAACTGAATTTATGGAAGTTTATTATTGTTAGCAAGTCTGATAGATCATGTAATTGTGAATACCAAGTATCATTGCATTTTATCCCAAAACAAACAATAAAAGGTATTCTTAATGCTAGACTGATTTCTACTTAAAAATATGAACGTATCAAATAATCATTTTTTATTATTATTATTTTTTATGACAGTAGACCATTATAGTACACGGTTTTATTTGGCACATTTTGGTTACTGCACTACTGAAAAACTGCAGCACAATTTTATACAACACTTCGTAAAATTAACTTAACGCAGTTCGGTTTGCGGGAGGGGAAATAATTTTCAGCATCACCTGCGGGATATACTCTGGCTGTGGGTTAGACCACTGAGTTAACGGGGAAGACCTACCGCCATTTGTTGCCACCCCCACCCAGCTTTTGGTTCATACGTGTGTAGGACCATTCTCTGCTAGGAGCTAGCTGTGTTTATTATGTTTGTGGATTGAGTTTAAACCTTTTATTTGCCATATCTCGTATCTGCCAAACAATCATGGCACCCAGTCTGCATACAAGTGTTGCTGAAAATGGCAAGAAAAGGTTTAAGCAGTTTAGCAGTTACGAAGAAAACTGAGATATTAGACAAACTTAAGAGTGGCTCACGGGTGGTGGATGTAGCGAGGGCCTTAATGAAGAGTCAGTTCGTACAATTAAAAAGGATGAGATGAATATATGAGCTTGTGTAATGAATAATCCAGGATGTCATCTCATGAAAAGAATGACACGTAGATCATAAGTAAATAAAACTGAAACTTGTTGCTTGAGTAGATCGGACAAAAAACAAAGGAAGGTGCACCACTTAATTTCATCTTAATTAGGGAAAAGGCCTTACTGATGTTTAAAGCAGTGTGTGTTAAGGAAGGCCTGAAAAATAGTGCATGTTTACCACAGGCTGGTTCCACAACTTTAAGTTGTGCAATAAGTTACATAATATTATGTTTTCTGGTGAAAATGCTTCAGCTGATCATACAGCAGTAAGTAGTTTCCCTGTTGAATTTCAGGAAATTATTTCTGAGGGTAGCTATGAGCCACATCAAGTGTTTGATGCTGACGAGACACATGTTTTTTGGAAGAAAATGCCAACAAGAACTTATATCAGTCAGCAAGAGAAAAGTGCACCAGGCTTCAAAACAGCAAAGGATCGCTTCAACTTGCTCCTTTGCGGTAATGCATCAGGTGATTTCACATGTAACCCCATGGTTATTTATCGCTCTAATAATCCTTGTGCTTTGAAAGGTGTAGATAAAAACACCTTACCAGTAATTTGGAGGTTAAACCAGTCAGCATGGATGACAGAAGAAATATTTATTGACTGGTTTAAGCGTCACTTTATTCTTGAAGTCAAGTTTTACCTGCACAGCAAGAATGTTGCATTCAAGGCTGTCTTCATTCTTGAAAATTTCCGTACTCATCCACAAGCTTTGCTGGATGTGACCCCACATGTAAAAGTTGCATTTTTACCTCCAAATACAACATCATTAACCCTTTGACTGTCGCAAGCCCCTTTCTGAAACTGTCATTCTATGTCACAAAATTTTTGGAAAAAAAAAAAAAAATTATTTTCTCTTTTGAAATGATAGAGAATCTTTTCTCGATGGTAATGACACCAAAAGTATGAAATTTGGTCTAAAACTCATGGAACTACACTCCTGTGAAGTTAGCGGTCTTGGCAACATATACTCATCGGCGATTTTGCCAAATCTGAGCCCTCTTTTTGGCCAATTCCATTGTTCCAGTTGACCAAACTCATAGCTATTTCTTTAGAACTCCATTTTTTCTATCAACTGAGTACAAGAAACCGCCCACTTACTGATTTGAACTACCCAATAAAGTGGTCAGAAATTGGCAATTTGGCCAATTTCATTCAAATTAAAAAAGATGCCAATTTCAAAATAGGGTCCAGAACAAACAATGTAGACATTCTCGGCATTAAAATAACACATCCTCTGTTCATTAGTCACATCTCTAGGCCCCTCTTGTATTACTATTGCTTTCTATTTTGACTTTTTATTCATACAAAAAATACAAAATTTACTGTTATGCAGATTACTGCATTATTGTAAAAACGGTAAAATAT